AGCTGATTGCCCATCCTCAGCTAGCATGTGGAACGCTGAGCTTGGAGTTTCTCCATTGAATATTATCAGCTCGGAGTTGCCACGCAACGCCGAACAAAGCAAGACGAAATAATGAGACGAGTAAGAAGCAGAAGCGTTCCCCTCATTCAGGTCGCGCCGGGTCAATTTTATCCATAAGGGTTTCGCCCCCATGCCGCCGGCCCCCCTCTCTTAGAATGGGACTTGCCAGAGCTGTTTTGGGATGTCTGGACGCTGACGTGAAGCAATACCGGGACTTCACTCGAGGGCAAATATTAATGTACGAGGGTTTATGGCTTCGGTGGCGCGAAGGCTAGGTAATGTACTAAGCCTTGTGGCCTCAGGGACGCAAATATAGCGTAATGTACGACGGTTTATGGCCTCGGGGGCGCAACTATTGCATTATTTATACAGGTTGTGGTTTCGGGGACGCGAATATGGTATAATGTGTAAGGCTTTGTGGCCTCGGGGATGCAAGTCCGGTGTAATTCATCTGCCACGGTTTATGGCCTTTGGGATGCGAAGATTGAATACTTCATTGCGGTGTATGGCTTCGGGGACGCGAATATTGCATCATGTGCATTGGTTTATGGTCCCGGGGGTGCGAATATCTTGAAATGTACGAAGGTTTATGGCTTCGGTGACGCGGCTATTCTGCAATTTACAAAATGATTCTGGCTTCGGGGACGCGAGCATAATGTAATTCACGAGGGTTTATGGCCTCGGGGACGCGAATATGGCTTAATCTACTCGGGATTACTGCTTCGGGGGCGCGAATATAATGTACGTGTCCCACGCCCCCCCTAGGAATTCAGGCAACGCGATCTGGGCGTGGTGAAAAAGCTGGCTGCAGAAAGCAGGATTGCAACGGTGGAAATTGGAAATTGCAGCTGGAACAGGGAGCTGCAGTCCTCACCCTCGCAGCCCGTTGGCCCCGCAGGGGGGCCGCCGGATAGTTGTGCAGTCCGCTTTGCTCCACGAGAGGACGTCGGCGACACCGAGTGGGACGTGGACGGCCTGGCCGCCGAGGTCGGTAGGCACGACCTGAGCGTGACGGATTTCATGGATGCGACCCGGCGCCCGCCCGAGCGGGGAGAGTGGACCCTCGGCACGAAGCGCTTGCTGGTGGTGGTGATGGACTGGAAGGCTTTAGTCGGGCCTGTCCCTCTGCAGAAGGAGTATTTAAGAAGAGTCAAGCAAAGATGTCGTCTGGGGATCAAGTTGGTTCACCATGTTTTGCTATTTTTGTGTATTTTTGGACCATGTCTTAGCTTTCGCCCAAAGTCCGCCTGTGGGGGGACATGCCCGACCTAATGGAAGGCGGGCGACCGTTCGAAGGCCCCCTTCTCCGCACAGACCAAGAGCCCTTCGCACTACCGCAGGGTGATCTTCCCCAGGGTCCAGAAGGCGTTCCACGAGATGAGCTGCGGCAGACTCGAGCTCGAGGTGACCGTCGTGCCAGAGGTGATCCGCTACACGAGGCCCTGGCAAGACAGAAAAGTGTGGCCCTTCGCCAGAGTGACCTTTGACGCGCGGCTTCAGGGGGGGGGCGCGAGGGGACCGAATCCCAAAAGACATGCTGCCATTGTCGCGTGGCACGCAACCGTCAGCTAGCCGCGCACCAAGCCCTGAGACCCGACGTCACAAAAAAAAACGTCCTGGAAAATCACGTCTGGAGTCTTGGGCCCCGCCTTCCTGCTGCATGTTTCGAGCTGGCTCGATCCGTGATGGGGTCCTGGGGGCCCGACACCGCGCGAAGACGCACTGCGTGAAAACAAGCAGCGCCCGGATCTCAGAGAAGGCCACTCTTGTTCAGAGCCACCCTCCCTTCCGCCGATCCGATGTTTGGCAGTCCTCGGCCCAGGAGGTCTCGACCGCCTCCCTGGGATTATGATGTTCCAACCTACTTGAGCCTTGATCGCCTAAAAGAATATCGAGCACCAAGAGAGTACCGAAACTGCAGATTTCGCGACACTCGTTCGACATTTGTTTTTGATATTTTTCTGGGTGCTCGAATTTTTGTTCTGGGATGTGGTCCTTACGCACGGTGGGAGCAGCATAATCCTGGGAGCAGTCATGCGTCTCTCATTTAAATTACTCTGGATGGTCCTGAGGCCGACGTCGAGGGGAAAAACGCCCGGCTTGAGAGAAGGTGCATTTGCATAAGCATCAGTTGTTGGAGCTGCGCGTGGGTTTCTTGGATCGGCGCTGGGCCCCCTCCCTGGCGGAGGAGGAAGGGGAGGAGGAGGGGGAGGAGGAGAAGGAGGAGGAGGAGGGGGAGTAGCTGGGTGGAGGGCGAATAGAATAATAATGACCAACATGCACATAAACTTATGGTGCTCCGCGCGGGTTTCTTGGATCCGCGCGGGACCCCCTCCCTGGCGCGCGGAGCGTGCCAGGGGCGGCGCTGGAGGCGCCGCCCTGTGGGTCCAGCGAAGAAAATCCGCGCGGAGCGCCGAAAGTTTAGGTTCATGAAGTTCATCTAGTCCAAAAGTCCACTCCGTAAGATATTGGTCGACGTTCGCGCGGTGATGCTCTGACGCGAATCCGACGTAAACCCGACATAAATCCAACGTGGATCCGACGCAAGTTGGATCTCAAGATGCCGCGCGAGGCCTCCAGGAGTTCCCTCACACCGACACGCGGCGAGCCCAGGGGGGAAGTGAGAGGGGGCCGGCCTTCTCAGAAGGCGGCGGGGCTTCTCAGAAGCCCTCTGGCCTTCTGAGAAGCTGCCCCTGTCTTCGGAGAAGGCTCAGAAATGTTCTCAGAAGGCCGGAGGCCTTCCGAGCCTCCTGAGAAGGCCCGCCCCTCTGCATTCCTCCTCCTCCTCCTCCTCCTCCTCCTCCTCGTCCTCCTTCTCCTCATGGGCTCCTCCTCCTCCTCCTTCTCCTCCTCCTCCTCCACCTCCTCCTCCTTCCCCGGGCTCGCCACCGAGCAGAACGACAGGCGACGAGCCCGCTACAGCGCGGTCGGCTACCCCTTCCCGGGCCTCTACCTGGGCGCCGGGCAGTCGCTCGAGGGAGACCGCCGGCACGGCTCGAAGTACCGGCTCCGAGCTTGCCCCCTGCCGCGGGGGGGGGAGCCGCGAGGGGCCTCGACACTTCGCGGGCGTGTGCATTCTCACTGGCGAGGCCAGCGTTGAGTCGGGCCTGGTCCTCTACAGGAGGGAACTTCAAAAGTAGTCGAAAATAGCCTTGGGATTATTTTTTGTCTATAACTGCGCATTGTTTTGCCATTTTTCTGTCAATTTTGAATTTTGTCGCCTAAAATCCGCCTGTAGAGAGACATGCCCGACCTAAGGCCAGCGACCGAAGACCTGGGCCATCTTGGAGCATCTCGGAGGAGGAAAACTTACCCATACCTGTACACCCTCGCCCGTTTTCCCCTTTGTGGGCCCCCTTGGAGGCCCTCGTCGCCACCGCTGGATTCGCCCCGAGATCCTGGCCAGAGCGTACCCCGGGGGGGATCAGAGGGGTAGCGATATGGGTGCCTTTTTCTGGTTTCCCCAGCATTTGGGACCACCTTGGAGAAGATGGCACGCGCCGAAAGCCAAGCACGGGGAGTGAGCGTCCAAGCGATGGTAAGGGGTGCCCCTACAGGGCGGGGAGAGGGCAGCCGGCCAGGAAGGATCAGGCGGGCAAGCGCGCGCGCGCGCGCATGCCGGGGCTGCTCCTCTCTCCTCCGCTGTCCTTTTTCACGTTGGCCAGACTTGACGCTTTGACATACGCAGCGTACGCCTCTTCCCTCCTCATCCTGCTCGTCCACGTCCACCGTTATCCTCCCTCGTCTTCCCTCCTCATCGTTCTCCTCCCTCTCCTCCTCCACCTCCTCCTCCTCCTCTTTCCCCTCTCCCTTTCCGTCGTCCGCCTCATCCCTCCTCCTCCTCCCTCCTCCTCCTCCTCCTCCTCCTCCTCCTCCTCCTCCCTTCCTCCTCCTCCTCCTCCTCCTCCTCCTCCTCCTCCTCCTCCTCCTCCTCCCCCTCCTCCTCCTCTCCTCCTCCCCCTCCTTGTCCTCCTCTCCTCCTCTCCTCATCATCATCCTCATTTACCTCCTCTCCTCCTCCTCCTCCTCCTCTTCGTCCTCTCCTCCCTATCCTCGTCCCCCTCATGCCTACTGCATACTGACGGCGCTGATGTCATGGACTCTGCCACCCTCTCCTCCTCTGTCCTCCTCCTCCTCCTCCTCCTTCTCCTCCTCTCCTCCTCTTCTCACTCCCTCTCCTCTTCGTCCTCCTCGTCCTCCCTCCACGTCCTCCTCTTCCTCCTCCTCTCCTCCTCCTCCTCCTCCTCCTCCTCCTCTTCCTCCTCCTGCCCCTGCTCCTCCTCCTCCTCCTCCTCCTCCTCCTCCTCCTCCTCCTCTCCCTCTCCATCTCGCTCCCTTTGCGTTAGCTAGACTTTGAGCGGGGCTCGCAGCGCCGTGCAACATGAGTTGCATGGGTATGCAAGGAAGAACCTGAGAGAACCACGTGTATCGTACAGCGGCATGGTGCAACATAATGCCGAAAGGTGAGAAGAGAGACGATACCATATGGAACAAGAAGAGGCTCGCAAGGGAGCTTAGACAGGATTCCCTGACAGAGTAGGCACACGCAGGCTTATCCCACCTGGGACCCACCACCTCCTCTCATCATCAACCCCGAACTCACCCAAGACAAGGGCCATCACCGAGGGCAGTGCGTGCCCTCACCGAGGGCAGCTGGCAATCAAACTGCTGGCGCTCATCCTACTGAAACTGTTGCTGGCCTGTTGGCACCAACGTGCGAGTGCGGTGCCAAGATACATACTCGTAGCTGTTCGTTGAATGGTGCCGACAACAATTGTCTTATGTGATGTTGATGTTGAATATCGGGTTGCTTGAACAATGCCTAGAGGTTAGGGAGTTTGCAGGTTGGCTCTTTAGTTCGTGCACTCCCCGAGGGTTGTATGTGGATCTCCTCCGCCTCCGAAAGGAAAGCACTTCCTGCTCCTTCTCCTCCTCCTCCTCCTCCTCCACGTCCTCATCTTGAGTGTCCACGCGGGACTTCTGTCGCAACGGCGTTGGTTGCTGGAAGGTATTATGATGTTGAAAAGTAGGGTCATTGGTTGTTGCCCTGTGGGTTAAAGCTGACAGAAGGCCGACGCGTCAGTGAGTGCCATCACCGAGGGTTGTGTGTTCTCCTCCACCTCGGCTACTTGGTCCAAGCCAGCCGCTCCTCCTCTGTAACATCCAAGCGGCACCTTTGTCGCAACTGTGTTGGTTGCTGGAAGGGAATCGATGCTGAAAAGTAGGGCCAATAGTGCGATGCCCTTTGAAGTTCAAAGCGGCCAGTTACGGGCTGACGAGTCCTAGATTGTTCTCTCCTTCCTCTTTTTCTTCCTCCTCCTCCTCCTCCTCCTCCTCCTCAAACCTTCTCCTTCCTCTCCAATCCCCAGACCCCCATGGACGAGTGACGAGGAGGAAGGGGAGTCTCACATGCCGCGTTCTGACAGAGCGAGGACTTGGCCTCGGTGCCAAGACCTGACAAGGGGATGATGGTGGAAGGCTGCGCAAATCCCAAAGGTGCTCGGCTGGGCGTGGGTCGCAAGACGGTGCCTGCGCACTGTCAGGGCTCTCGACCCCATCCCCAGGAGCTGAGGAGCCCTCCAACCCCTCCCTCCTCCCCATCCCCCCCCCCCCCATAGACGTGGTGGAGGAGGAAGAGGAGTCTCCCATGCCGCGTTCTGACAGAGCGAGGATTTGGCCTCGGTGCCTTGACCTGACAGAGGGGTGATGTTTGAAGGCTGTGCAAATCACAGCGGTGCTCGGCTGGGCGTGGGTCGCAAGACGGTGCCTGCGCACTGTCTGTCATGGCTCTCGACCCCATCCCCAGGAGCTGAGGAGACTTCAACCCCTCCCTCCTCCCCAGCACCCTCTTAAGAGCCACTCAGGATTTGGCTTGGTCACAAGCGAGGGCGCAGCCCATGGCCGCCGGCCGCAGCAGACTAGGGGAGGGACAGGCATGGAGGCGGGGTCATGGGCCCTGGTCGCGGATGGTGTGAAGCCCGATTGAGTGGTCGCGGACCTTGTCCGCAGGCGCTAGGTTGGGCACGGGCCCAAAAACTGGTGCCGCGTGCTTCGGCCGCGGGCATGAGCTCAAACTCGGGTCTCGCGGAGTTGCACGGGTCCGGCTGCAGCCACGAGTTCAAGCGTTAGCACATCGGCGGGGGTCAAGGGCCCCGGCGGGATCGTTTATTGCGTGGACGCGGGCCCACTTGGCATTAGGGGACCCGCAAACGTGGCCACTGGATATTTTTGTGTTATTGTGGTTCAGCGGCGAGGGTTCTGACCCCGGCCGCATGCACAGCGTGCACTGATGAAGGCTTGGCCCGTCGAAGGCAGGGTCACGGTTGGATGGTCATGGCTCGTGCAGTGGCCTCGAAAAAGGCCGTAGTACCATAGCGACCGCTGCAGCCTTTGGCATTAGCGGTGTCAAATAGGATATGGATGCCAACCCCTGTCGATGAACAGGTGTTGGTCTCCACCCCAGGGCCGAAAGCTAGGCTGCCCATCCCTGTCGATGGACAGGCATGGGCATACCCTTTCCTCACCTACGGCACTGACGGTGCCAAATAGCCTAAAGCTAAGATGTCCATCCCTGTCGATGGATAGGTATGGGCATCCGCCACCCAGCAATCGGGGGGGCGCGTGGCACGTGAAAACTGATGTGTTGCTTCGCTTACGGGCTGTCGGGAGGTAGGTCTAGTGTTACAATGGTTGTTTGGGCCCGCTGGCCTCGTCCGTGTCCTCAGGCCCTCGTTGTGGCACAGTGAGTGGCTATGCGAAGCATGAGTAGGTTAGCCCCTGCTCAGAGGGGGAAAGGTTCCCGGATAGCTCCTTGTGAGAGCTACGAGGGTTGTTAGAGAAGAAGCCGGCCGGCAGGGCTACGCCAGCTCCTCTCCAAGGCTCCCGGGCAGGCATCCTCGCAGCGAGTTGCTTGAGTTCGCAGCGTGTCCCGAGAAGCGTTTTCCTACTCGTTCCCAATACGCGTGTCCCGAAGCTTCTCCGCGAAGCGTCTCCGCAGCGCCTTGGAAGCTCCTCTCTCGAGAGCTTGCGGGCCACCCAGGCACTCTTTCAAGCGCCCCCCGAAGCGTGCCCCGCGAGCTCGCACGCTCTCCAGTCACCCTTTCCAAGGTTCCAGCCACTCCGTGTGGCGCCCTGCTATCCGGATTTTGGACTACACAAGTATCATATTATCCTCGGTCTCTCCAACAATCCAGCTTGAACCAATAGAGGCCTTCAGGTTCTATCCGCCATGACTGCACCATCCCATCGGGCGTTGCGTTCATGCTGGCTATCGCACTCGAGGGGGGGGCAAGCTTTGTTGGACAAAGCCAGCGTTGTCTTGTGGGACGCCTTCCTGGCAGATGTTCGCTTTGTCCCAGAGTGGTCCTTACCTTGACTGATACAAGGGTGGTAATACCAGGTCACTGGCTCCACCCATGGGGTTAAGGCGCCCCGAAGCCATATCACTTCAAGTCCTCCTCCTCCTCCTCGTCATCAGCATCAGCATCAGCACCGTCATCATCAACAGCACCATCAGCAGCATCATCCTCATCCTCAGCCTCATCCTCCTCCTTCTCCTCTACCTCCTTCTCTTCCTCCTCCTCCTCTTCCTCCTCTTCCTCCTCCGTCCTCCTCCTCCTCCTCCTCTCCCTCTCCGTCCTCCTCCGTCCTCCTCCTCCTCCTCCTCCACATCCTTCTCCTCCTGCTCCTCCTCATCCACCTCTCCCTCTCCGTCGCCCTCCTCCCCCTCCTCATCCTTCCTCCTCCTCCTCCTCCTCCTCCTTCCTCCTTCCTCCCCCTCCTCCTTCCCCGCAGGGGAAGGACGACGACGACGACGAGGACGACGACGACGACGACGACGACGACGACGACGACGACGACGACGACGACGACGACGACGACGACGACGACGACGACGACGACGACGGCGACGACGGCGACGGCGGCGGCGGCGACGGCGGCGACGGCGACGGCGACGGCGACGGCGGCGGCGGCGGCGGCGGCGGCGGAGGCTCTCCTCGTGCCGAGTGCTGGCGGGCGCCCTGCGTTCACCGCCGCCGCAACCGCAGCCCCCCCACCGCGGCCCGAGGCCGGCCGCCCCCCCCCCCCACGCTACAGGGCCCCGCGCGCGGCGGGCGCGGGGGTGTCCAGCAGTGGCGAAGCGTCCCGGCTCGCCTACAGGCCCACGAAACAGTGTTCTAAGAGCAGGTTTGTGGTTTGCACGAAATGCTCTTTAGAGCAGTTCTGGCTGGGGCTGTCGTGTTCCAGTACGTCGGGCTCATATTCTAAGAGCATCGTTTGCGTTCTTAGAACATTTTGCGGTGCTAAGAACATGCCGTGGTAGGCCTATAGGAATGCTGGGACGGTCGGTCCCTGCTCAGGGGTGGGCTTCCCGCAGATGGGCCGGGGCCGCGGGGCGCTCACAGGCCGGCGGTGGCGGCAAGGGCGGCGGCGACGGCAGCAGCGGCGGCGACGGCGGCGTCGCCGTCATCGTCCGCCCCTTGCGGGGACGAGGAGCAGGAGGAGGAAGAGGACCAGTGTAAGCACAAGACGCATCAGCGATGTTGCGATAAACCCTCCTTCCAAGCGCCCCATTGGAAGACAACCAGTTGATAATCCTCACTCAGCCTTGCCAAAACACGGTTCTCGGGACTCCAGCACCGCGAAGCAACGCGAGTGTCGCGTCCTGACAATCCTGAAGCGCGCCAGCACACAAATTCTGGGAATTCAGCGCCGCGAATCATAAGACTGTCGCATCCTGGCAATCCTGAATCGTGCCAGAACAGAGTTTCTGGGACCTCCAAACAGCGAGACAACGTGATTGTCGTACCCTGACAATGATAAGTCGTGCCAGAGCACCATCCCTGGGATTTCAATCATGCGAATCCTTGGCTCCGTTACAAGCGTTTTACTTCAAATGCGCGCGGCGCCAATGCGAGAGCCACAGTTTGACATGCAACCGCCCTCACTCATTGAAACTGCTGCAGAATTGTGAGACGAATGCGCGCGTCGCTAAGGCGAGAGCCACATTGCGAAAACCACCCGCCCTCCATCCGCGACGCTGCTGCAAACGTTTAAAAACAAGTATGCGCGGAGCTAAAGCGGGAGCCACATGTTGGAAAATGGTTTGGTTGCCCTCTCTCCGTGAAGCTGTTGTGGACGTGTAAGACGAGTGCGCGCGTCGCTAGGCGAGAGCCACATCACGAGAACCACCCACCATCCGTCCGTGGCACTGCTGCAAATGTCAAGCTTCAGGGTCGTTCGTGGTGAGGAAGTCGCAAGCAAAACGCCCGGCCCGCCCTACCCACACGCCTGGTGGTGCGACAGGATGGAGTTAGCCATAGGTAAAGTTGATGGAGGATGCAGCACGGAGGAGGGGGGAGAAGGACGAGGAGGAGGAGGAGGAGGAGGCAGGATTGAGGAGAGGAGGAGAGGGAGGGGAAAGAAGGGGATAAGGAGAATGAGAAGGAGGGAGGAGGAGGAGGAGGAGGAGGAGGAGGGGGGGAAAAGAGGGGGGAGGAGAAGGAGGAGGGCAATGGAGCTTCCTGGTGTGTTTGAGTATTGTTGACGCTTCGTGTATCGTCAGCAGCTATTGCGCGGCCCGCTCGGGCCTTACTCGCCGCTGGCGCTCTCGCCTGCGGCTGCGACGCAGAAAGTATCCTCAGCAGCCCATCTAGAAACGATGATCGGGCGAGGTGCCTTGATCAGGGAAGTGTGAGAGCAAGCAGTGCAACAAAAGAGGGGGGGCAGCCGTCGAACCGAAGCTCGGGATCAGTCTGAGCAGACCCGGGAGTCAGCCACAAATGCCCTCGTAGATCTTTCGATCTGGGACAGCTTGGCAGCTTACGTGGGCCAGTTTGGAGGCTTCGGGGGCCCTTTGGGGACCATCTAGTAGACAATCGATCAAAGAAGGGGGGGGATCCTGTATTACGGTCCCCCCCGTCCGAGGGCTCACAATCAACCCCTTGGGCCCCCTTGCGGTGATCGTAGACGCTCTTTGAACCGGTTTGGGGCCCCCATTCGGGATCCATTGGGGCAAAAAGGAGTTGATGATGATGATGATGATGATGATGATGATGATGATGATGATGATGATGATGTTGATGATGATGTTGATGGTGGCGATGATGGTGATGATGATGGTGATGATGGTGATGATTGTGATGATGATGGTGATGATGATGATTATGGTGATGGTGATGATGATGTTGATGATGGTGGTGGTGATGATGATGGTGATGATGATGGTGATGATGATAATGATGATGATAATGATGATGATGCTGATGATGCTGATGATGCTGGTGATGATGATGGTGAGGATGATGTTGATGGTGGTGATGATGATGATGGTGATGATGGTGATGGTGATGGTGATGGTGATGGTGATGATGATGATGATGATGATGATGATGATGATGATGATGATGATGATGATGATGATGATGGAGATCCATTGGGGCATAGGGGCCATGGGGCCATAGGCTCTCCAAAAGTCGCGGCGGCCAAAGTCGGTGATTGCTCGGGCGCTGGGGGGGGGGCTCCGAGGAGCACTCGGAGCTTGGAGGGTTTCTCCGAAGGGCTTAGGCGACCCGTCCTCCTCCTCCTCCCCCTGGCTCGCGGAGCGCGCCAGGGAGGGGGGGTCCAGCGCGGATCCAAGAAATCCGCGCGGATCTCCGAGTTTTTTATGTTTATGCCATTTTGCTTTCCCCAATACCTTGAGCCATCCTGAGCCATACAGTCAACCCGCATAGTAAGGATTGGCACCCTTCCCAAGGGTACCCTTGCATCCTTGCTCTTGGGCCCATCCTTGGCCGCTCTCGTTGGCCGCGCCCCGCTCGAAAAGCTGCAAAATGGGCGTCCAAGACCCTTGCGTCCTTATCGCGCATCCTTATTCCACAGGTTGACTGTACTGTTCATTTTGAGGGTCATATTGGGCTACCCGGGACCATCTTGGAACCCTCGGGGGCCATCTTGGGCGCCGTGCCTCGCGAAGCCTTGGGTTCGGACCCCACGGGTTGGGGCGAGGAATAAACCCCTCCCCGAAGGGGACGAAGAGGGCTAAAAAAAACGACATCGGCAAACCACCTACGTTCTGAAGGCCTGATGGGATTACATGGGTTCTAGTGTCTCTCTCTTTCTTTCTCTCTCTCTCTCTCTCTCTCTCTCTCAGGGGTATGGAGGAGGAGGTCGTCGTGGTCGCCGTCCTCAGCATGCCGCTCCTCCATCCCTTCCCCTTATGGATCACCCCCCTCTGTGGCACTTCTGGACGTGTCCGTAGGCTTGGCCGGGCGTCTCGCTTCAGATTTGTTTACACGCTACAGTATCGAATACGCCTACGGCGAAGCAACGCCGCTCCTTGCCTCGTGGATTCGCCCATGTGGCCGAGCGTTGTGGCAAGAGACCTGCCAAGATATCGGACCATCTGTTCCCCCGGCCGTTGTGGAAACCCTTCAGGGAACACTTGGGGAGGATGGTGGGGAAGATCAGGAGAGGAGGAGGGGGCATCTTGGGAGCCTCTAGAGGCACTCTTGGGGCCTCCTGGGTGCTTCCTGGGAGCCTCTTGGAGGCACCTTAGAGGCCTTTTGGGCCTCTTGGGGGCCTTTGGGAGCTCTTCGGGTGCCCGTCTCTGGGCTTGCCTGGCCCGCGTAACTCCGTCGGAAGCCGTCTTGGGGGCCTCTCTGGGCCGACTTGGGGCCGTCTAGGGGTGCTCCACGGCCGTCTTGGAGGCTATCTTGGGCGTCTTGGAGGCCTCTTGGGCCGTCTTGGAGCCCTATTGGGGCCGTCTTAGGGGCCTCCTGGGCCATTCTGGGGCCATCTTGGAGGCCTCTTGGGCGATACCGGGGCGATCTTGGGGGCTCCTGGGCCGTTTCGGGCCGTCTGAAGGCCGAAAAGAAGCAAAAGTTGAAATCCTGCAAAAACCTTGCGAACATCAGTGATTGTGTCCTCTCCGGGCCTTCCTGGAGGCCCTCTTGGGGGCTTCTTGGGCCGTCTTAGAGGCCTCTTGGGGGCATCTTGCGGATTTTTTAGCAGTCGTAGACCATCTTGAGGCCATCTTGGGCCGAATTGGGTGCATCTTGGGGCCTTGTTGGAGCATTTTTGGGCCATCTTGGAGGCATCTTGGAGGCCATCTTGAGAAATATTGGCCGTCGGAGAGGCCATCTTGAGCCGTCTTGGGGAATGTTTGGCGCACGTTGAGGTGCTTTGCGGTCCCTTCAGGGTGGCCGGCGGCATGCGCAGCCCCAGGGGGAGTGCATTTAGAAAAAACAAAACCAAAAACGGTAGGACCTAGCACGCCAGGCACCCCTGTGATATATCAACAGGCAGATCTCGGATGCGTGTTAAGATCTCTTGGGAAGCCTCTGGGGAGTCTTTCGGGGGCAGTTTGAAGCCTCTTGGGGCCTCACGGACGCCGTTTGGGGGCCTCTTGGGGCTTCTTTTGGGCCTCTGGACTTCTTGAGGGCCGGCGATCTTGGGGGCCACCTTGGGGCCGTCTTGGGCCGTCTTGGGCGCCTCTCGTGCCGTCTTGGGGCCCTCTTGAGCCGTCTTGGGGGCATCTCTTGAGGGCCTTTGGGGTGGACTCTTGAGCGTTACGATGTTCCAAAAATAGCACTCGACCAGCTGCACGGAGTATGGAGGGCCAGTGGTTTCCAGCAAACGGCTCTCGCCGGAATGCCGTGCACGGTCGTTGTTGAACAAGGGCAGTCCAGACATCCAGAAGGGCGGAGGGCCCGTCGCTTCCAAGCGCGGCTCTCGCCTTGGCGCCGCACACATACGCGTGTTGTTAACCCAGCAGCTACAAGGATGGAGGGCTGGTGATTTTCTAACTGCGGCTGCCCCCTTACTTTAGCGCCGCGCATATTCTCGTTGACAGTTCTACACAGCTACCAAGAAGGAAGGCCAGTGGTCTCGAAACTGTGGCTCTCGCCTTAGCGCCGCGCGCATTCGTTTACTAAAGGATGGAGGGCCGACGGCTTCCAAAATATGGCTCCTCGTTCTAGCGCCGCGAGAATTCGTCTTAAAGTTAAGCATGCGGACTTCGTTTGAGACATCCGCAAATCTTTGCACCCGAAATCTAGCATCGCGTAGCAGATTCACGGATTGAGTGCGGCTCCCAGTGTCAAGCAGCTCCCGCCGAAGACTCCCGCGGATCTCGTGGCCCGAAGTTCACACATGCGCATTCGTTGCACGGATGCAGAGCGGCCCCTTGTCAAAAACTCCTCCTCCTCCTCCTCCTCCTGCACTCGCTCAAGACATCCTCAATTCTTGCGGCCGGGATTGCAAGTTGCCACGCGCCCGCGCACAGATGGAGGGCAGATCCTGCTCACGGCGGGCCTCTCGCTGGACACCCCCAGGAATGTTTTATCGCCCGACCTGCTCCTCTGCAGCTGCGGCAGCCGGAAGAGTGGCATGTGGATCCTCTGCAGGACGTGGTCTGGCCTGACCGGCAGGCCCACGGGCTTTCGCCTGTCGAGGGGCGCCGCTCCCCGCAGTGGAGAGGAGTACTTGCAGCGACTTGCGAAGAGGGGACTTGGAACAGGAGGGTGTATTGCAGCATCGCTGGTGCATCTTGGGTTTACTCTGTTCCTCCTCCTCCTCCTGACCATCATCCGAATATCAGTACCCCTCTCCTCTTCGACCTCTTCCTCCTCATTATCATGTTCCGCATCATGCTCCTTATCAGCTCCCTCGCTTTCATGCTCTCTATTCTCTGCCAAATCTCACCCCCCCACAACACTCCCCCTGCCAACACTGAACTACAAGCAACCACATGCGCACCAAGCTACTGCAAGCTTAGGGTATCCGCCAAAAACCGAATCCTTCAGTATTCTGCCACAAAGGATTCCTCTTGCATTCCGCCACAAGGGGAACCCTCTTGTACTCGGCCACAAAAGGATTCCTTGTTGCATTCCGCCACATGAGGCAGCAACCGCAGAAAAGGGTTCCTCTTGTATTCTGTCACAAATGGAACCCCCCAGTAATCCATCACCGAAGGAAATCCGTGGTATTCCGCCACCAAAAAAACTTCTTAGCATTCTGCAGCAAAGATCCTTCTTGGCATTCTGCGACAAGGAGAAGCGTGTTATTTTCGACAGCAAAACCGGTTCCCTTTGCATTCAGCCACATAAAAATCCCCTGGCAACCGACCACAAGGGGGTCCGTTTGCATTCTGCCACACAAGAAACCTTTGAGTAATCCACCACAGAAGAGAAATGCATACTCCAGGATTCCGTGGCGGAATTGTATGGGACTCCTGATATGGTGGATTATTGAGGTACTCTTGGCGTGGCGGGATACAAAGGAACCTTGTGATGAGCAGAGTAAAGAGGCATACGAAGAGGAGAAGGAGGAGGAGGAGGAGGAGGAGGAGGAGGAAGAGGAAGGGAGGAACACCGAACGCGGAGGAGGGCCGAAAGCCCGCCATACCCATCCAGTCTGGCGCCGCCGTCTCGGGTTTTTCACCCCGTGCCCCCTGGGGCGGCGTGCCGTGGGCTGGAAGCCTCTCCCGCGCTTGTCCCTCCCTCCCTCCCTCCCTCCACTCCCTCTTCCTCCTCCGCCTCCCACGGCATTACGGCCACCCCGTTGGGGTTAGGGGTGGCCCATTCCCCCGCCATGGGGGTTCGTGGTCGTTCGTCTGTCGCGCTGTTGCTGATTCCTCGCTTCGTCGGTCGTCGTCGCGTTAGGTCTTCAAGTCAAGTTCGAACTCTGGCAGTTGGGTCTCGCCAGCGGCGGAATGTTTAGGTCCTCGGCGGCCATTCCCCCCTGCACGGCCCTGGTTAACTCTTGGGTGGACGTTGCTTGCGCTCCCGGGCCGGAGAGTGGCCCGTCCAAACTTTTTTTCTTCTTCCCTCTTCTGGGTCCTAGTAGCACGTCAGGGTCGAACCCTGGTTGCGCTGGTCATCCCTCGGATGAAGCTGGGGCACAGGCCTCAAGGCCGTCTCGGTTGGTTTGCACAGTTCCCCTCGTTTTCCCCAAGTGCGATCTTCATTCGTTGTGATAGCACTTGCACGATACGTCTGCCTTGTTGGAGCTCTCTGGTGCATGCGATTGCGAAATGGCGTTTTGTCACCAGCATGGTAGCTCTTGTATTCGTGAGCTCATCCGTCTTGACGATCCCGCCCCTATGCGAGGCTTGCGCCCCAGAACACAGCCCGGCGGCAATGCAGGCAGTCTTGAGCATTTGCCTTCCGTTGTTGTTTGCCGAATTGTTTTTTGACCAGGGGCATGCGACTGTGAAAGGGCGTGTTGTTACTAGCACGACCGCTTTTTGCATTCGTGTGCGAATCCGTCCTAGCGATCCCGCCCCTATGGGAGGCGCTTGCCTCCAGGACACAGTCCAGCAGCAATGCCTGCAGTCCTTCGCATTGTTTTCTAGTGTTGTTTGCCTGATCGGCTCTGATGCGAGGCATGCGACTGCGAAAGGGCGTTATGCCACTAGCACAATTTGTTTTACATTCGAGGGCTCGCCCGTCCTAGCGATTCCGCACCCATGCGAGGCGCTTCCCTCCAGGACACAGCCCGGCGGCAATGCCGTTGGTTCTGGCCATTTGTCTTATACGTTTGCCCAATTGGGTTTGATGGGAGCTTTTGCGGCTGGCGAAGGGAGTTTGGCTACGAACGCGGTAGTTCTTGCGTTCGTGAGCTGTTCCGTTGTGGCGGTCCCTCCCCCATGCGAGGCTTTCCCCTCCAGGACACAGCCGTGTGGCAATGACGGCGGTCCTGCGCACTTGCCTTCTGATGTCGCCTAGCTCGTTTTGATGTGATTTGTGCGATTGTGGAATACCACGCGTCCGAACGCGAATTGTGCACACCATGTTATACGTCATCATGTTTGTGTCTCCAGCGTGCTCAAGTTCGTTGGAGTAGATGGCCGTTGTTCGGTTGGTGTGCACATTGTGCTTCGAGTCCCTCAAGTGCGGTCCGAATTCCTTGTGAAACAACACGTGCGTGATACGTGTGCCGAGTTGGTGTTACGTGACGTATGCGCTCCAGGACACAGCCCCTCGGCAACGCCTGCAGTCCTGAGGATTTGTTCTTGTTGTGTGCCTAATTGTTTTCTATGCGAGGCATGCGGCTGTGAAAGGGCGTCCTGCTGCTAGCACACTTTTTCCTGCACTCGTGGATATAATCCGTCCTGGAGATTCCGCCTCCACAGGAGGCGTTTGCCTCGAGGACACAGCCCGGCGGCAAGGCCAGCAGTCCTGCGCATTGGTTGTTGTCGTTTGCCTACTCGTTTTTGACGCGAGGCGCGCGAGCGCAAAAGGGCGTCTTCGTGCCGGCACGGTAGTTTCTGCACTCGCGGGGCGAGTCCGCCCTCGAGACTCCGCCCCCATACGAGGCGCTCGCTCCCATGGCGCAGCCCGGCGGCGAGCTCCGCACTTCTGCGTGTCGTTTTCTGTTGTTCTTTCCTCAGTTGGCTCTGGCGCGAGGTATGCGACTGCGCAATCGCGCTTTGCGTGCGAGGCGCTGGCCCCCTGGATACAGCCCTGCCGCAATGACAGCGCTTCTGGTCGTGTGTCTTATACGTTTGCCCAGCGGGGCTTCATATGTAAATTCTGGCGGCTTGGAGAGGAGTTTGGCTACTCTCACGGCAACCCTTGCCCTCGTGAGTTTTTGCGTCTTTGAGGCTCAGCACCCATGCGAACATTTGCATCCAGGACACAGCCTGGCGGCAATGGCGGTGGTTCTGATCATTTGCCCCATCCGTTTCCGCAGCTGGGTTTGATGTGAACTCTTGCGGCTCGGAAAGGGAGTTTAGTTACTACTGCGATAGCTCTTGCTTTCGTGAGCTTTTCCGTCGAGGCGAGCCCGCTCCCATGCGAGGCGCTTGCCTCCAGGGCACCGCATGGCGGCAATGCCGGCGGTCCTGGCATTATCAGTATGATTTCGCTTGCTTTGTTTTGACGTGGTGCATTCAATTGTAAAATCCCACACGCCTGAGAGCGCATTATGCACACCACCTTATACAGCATCATATTCGTCACCCGAATGCTCCAGTGCGTTGAAGTAGTTGCCACCACATTCGGCGAACTCCTACCAACCACCGTTTCAAGTGCAATCGAAAGTCACGTGGTGCCACTCCATATAGCGTGGGGCTTCCCAATCTTCACCCGTACTCATTTGCAAAGGTGGGAGATCCCAAGTACCCCACCCGACACATAAAGGGTGATGCCCATCATCCAGGGCATCAGCATGAGCGCTACACTACAATCCTTCTCTTGCTCATCCTCCGCCCTCCTCGTTTCTCCTCTTCCTTCTCCCTGTTCATCCCTCCTCTTCCTTCCTCCTCCCTCAGCTCCCCTCCTCATGTTCCCCCCTCCTCCTCTTTCTCCTCCTCCCTTTTCCTTCTCCTCTTCCCTCTTCCTTCGCCCGCTGCTGGAGGCCGAATTGGGCCATCCTCGCAATGGTTGTCCCCGATCCGCCCCCGAACGCCCCGGGCGCAATCACGGCGTCCGACGAGGCGCGACGGCGGCCTCCTGGGCTGGGCGAGGCTGGGCAGGAGGAGCGAGTGGGGAGAAGGAGCCCCCCCTCCTCCTTCTCCTCCTCCTCCTCCTCCTCCTCCTCCTCCTCCTCCTCCTCCTCCTCCTCCTCCTCCCCCTCCTTCTCCTTCTCCTTCTCCTTCTCCTCCTCCTCTTCCTCCTCCTCTTTGTCCTCCTCCTCCTTGTCCTCCTCCTCCTCCTCCTCCTCCCTTCTCCTCCAACTCCCCCTCCTCCTCCTCATCCTTGTCTTCCTCCTCCTCCTCGTCCTCACCCTCGTCGTTCTCCTCCTCCTCCTCCTTTACATCCTCCTCGTCGTCCTCGTCCTCCTCTTCCTCCTCCTCTTCCTCCTCCTTCCTCCTTCTCCTCCTCCTCTTCCTCATCCTCATCCTCCTCATCCTCCTCAGCCTCCTCATTATCATCTTCCTCCTCATACTAGTCCTCTTCTTCCCCCTCAACTCCTCCTTCTCCTCCCTGCTCACTCCCGTTCCTGTGCCTCCTCCTCCTCCTCCTCCTCCTCATCATCATCATCATCATCATCATCATCATCATCATCATCATCATCATCATCTTCCTCCTCCTGGAGGAGGAGGAGGAGGAAGACGTGGGTGAGGAGGACGACAGCGATAGGGACGAGAAAAACGATGCGAGGAGGGGAGGAGGAGGGGGAAATCTGCAAGCCAGACGGCCCTGAGCCGGTGGGTGAGGAAGGGGAGGGTTTCGTGCACACATGTATTCGCCACAGTTGCATCATACACGTGTGTACATACACGTGCATATAGGATACACATAGGTAGCTATATGGGGTGTACACTACACCTGAGTAGATAGAGAAAGTGGCGGAAGCACTGAGAGGGAGTGAGAGAGAGAGAGAGAGAGACAAAAAAAAGAGACAAACATAGACAGAGAGAGGGAGAGACACAACTATAGAACAAAGAGAGGAAGAGAGAAAGAGAGAGAGAGAGAGAAAGCAAGGAACAAGAGATCGGAGATAGGAGAGTGACAAGCGAGGCTTGATCGCGCCATTCTGACTCCCCACTCCTCCCACTCATCGGTTCCCATGTCGCCGATGCTTCTCTATCCGCCGACGGGTGTCATAACGGACTCGGAGCCACCAAAAGAACCATGCCCGTCTTGCGCAATGAGAAATGGGAATTGTGCAAATTGGAGGAGGAGGAAGAGGAGGGGGAGGAGGCGGAGGACGTGGAGGACGGGTGGGAGGAGGAGGAAGGAGGGAGGAGGAAATACGGAGGAAGGGGGAAGGAGGAAGGAGGAAGCGGGAGGAGGAGGAGGAGGAGGAACAAGAGGAGAAACAGCTGCGGCAGCAATGGCAGGAGCAGGACGAGTTCAGGAGCAGGAGGACCAGGGGAAGGCGGAAGAGCAGAAAGGAGGGGGCGACAACGAGGAATGATTCGGATCCAAAGGTTGCCCATGTTGTGGCAGGAGCGCCATTCTGAGCAACGGGCGGAAAACGTCGATCCTTAAATGAGGCCAACGTTGCAGCGAGAGAACCGTTGGTCCTCCAATGGTTTGCGCATTCGTGGTTATCCTCGTTACACCTCTGCCCAACCACGCGCCAAGATCCTGCGCAGGATTCGCCGGCCTCCTCCCCTTCAACCTCCCGCCCCATCTTTTGAAATACCTCCGTATCCACTTCGGCTGAAGATGTCTCACATGGGGGTGATCCAGCTCCTAGGTATTGCACGGAAGCTGCTGGCCCGTAGTAAGCGATCCAGTATTCTGAGGCCCTTGATCACCACAGGCTGTATACTTTCGTTTGTTTGGTGGTCCCCGCCCCGTGGACAGCCCCACCCATGGGGGGAAGGGGGCGCCAGCACCTGGGCACGGCGATGTGGCCTCTTTGACGGCCGTCTGCCCCATTGCATCAGCAGTACGCAAAGCAGTCTTACAAGGATGGCGGACAGTGGTTCGTACTGGGGGCGAGGCGATGGGAAATATCCACATGGTCTGCAGTTTGTCCCCCAGCGCGAGTTAAACCACAGCATGCATTACCGAGTGCACAACCGAAGCCCGGAAGTCCAGCTACGCGGTGCAAGGCGAGTGGGACATTCTTCTACAAAGATCTGCTCGAGCACTGCGATTGGACGCGGCAGTTTTGCGGGAATAGCCTCAAGGAGAGACCCATGCTTGACGTTTCCAGCTCATAGTGGACATGTACCAGGCCGAGTGGTTACAGCGTCCACAATGGCAATAGTGGCGGGTTGGAGTTTATACCTGAGCTCGTAGCCAATGGTGGTCCTGGTGCTCGAAGGCGGCCCTTGCTCCTCCCGCATGTACTGAAATGCCCAAGTTTGCCCCCCTTCCGATTGCGCAAGCAAGCGAGAAGGTCGGCCAGGCTCAGACGGCACTGGAGAAGGCATCTGGCACGGCGGCCCGCAGCAGGCATGATATGGAAGCCACCGCGGGAAATGGTCGCGCGGCAGCAGGGGGCCGTGCAGAGGCAGCGGCAAGACTGGAGGGCGCGGCGAAGGAGCTGGCACGAGGAAGCGCACAACCCGAAGCTGGGAAGCTTGGTGCGCGTGAGCTCTTGGACAAGAAGGCAGAGCCCAACCTATCCGCTGGCGGTTTGTTCGAGGACACCGAGCTTGAGGACAAGAGCAAGGAGGAATTCGATCTGCGCGAGACGGCGTTTGATATCCAGTTTCGCACGGCCTTCGCGTCGCTCGCCAGCGATCGCGCCACTGCCTCGGCGGGGCAACAGCGCGCCCATGTGGGAGCTCCGGGGGGATGGCAGCGGGCACGGAACCACAAAGCATGCGAGGGGCGCGCCGAGATGCGCGGCCCAGGCACTCAGGCCCAGACACTGGCAGCCTAGGCCCTAGGCGGAGTTTCCTACGGGCCCACGAAACTCGCGAAGTATGCGCCGATATCCCGTTGACCAGGCACGCGGCCCCAGCTTGTCCGGTCACGGTGGAGCCCCCACATGGGACAACGACGCGCGCGAGGGGCGCGCCGACGCAGACACGCGGAGGGCAGATGGAAGAGGGGGGGGAGCGGGGGCGAGCGCGCGAGCGAGTGGGCGAGACTCGGGGCGCCGCCTCTTCAACGCGAGGACCAAAGCCCACAGGTTGATTGGGGGCGGCGCGGTTACCCGAGGCACGCGCAAGCTCTTCTTCACGCGAGACGGCGATTCATCCGCCACTGCGCCCCGCGGCGCGCCCGGGCGCGGAAGAGCGCCAGCGGCTGCCCGTTTTTTTTTTTGTTTGCGAAATATTATATGGAGCGGGCCCCCCTCTGTAGACGGCGGTTGCATGCGTCGCCCTTCCTTCCCGAGGCCGCTTCTTCGCGCCTGTTCGAGGATGGCGCGCGCCCCGATTTCGCAGTCGCCGTTCCCGAGCGCAAGAAGGAATCGGACATGGAGGGGGGCGAAGGCGCAGGCTCGGGCCCAGCAGGCGTCGGCGTCGGCGCCGCCAAGTCGGCGGCCGCGGCTGGTTCGGGCGGCGGCAGCGACGCGAGCGGCGCGACGTCATTTCAATAGGGGGCTGAGGCCGCGGCCGAGAAGTTCAAGTGAGAGCTCGAGTAGATCGACGAGAGGGCGCCGGGGGTCAAGCGTGGAACTCAGCGTCTTCAGCGCGCGCCGGCAGGGCGTTCGAAGATACTTGGGCCAGATGAAGATCCTGAGCCGTGGCCCCTGGAACGGGGGCATTCTGTTGGCGCCTACATCGGGGGATTCGGGCGTTAGAGCGCAAGTCCCAGAGGGCCAGGGGGGGCGGGGCTCGGCCCTTCCCGCCGGGCCCAACGCCCGCCATTATTTGCCAGGTGTTAGATCGCAAGTCCCAGGCGCCGCGGCTTCGACGCAGCGGCCCGGGCATCGTTTCGCCGCGGCGCCGCCCGGCTGGAACGGGGCGCTCAGCCCGCGCGAGTTGGGCAGGAAAAGAAACGGATTTAACCAGTGGACATGGGGCCCTTCTTGATCCACCTCCTGCTACAGACAGAGAAATGGAGCGGCGTGATTTGACTGGCGAGATGGCGGCGGATGCTTCAACGCGGATCCGCGACCGTCGGGGCGAAACATGCCATTCCCAGGAACCCTGGTTGAGCGGGCGCGCCCCGCGTTTCTAGGCCCCCACGGGGCCGGGCGCCAACGCGGGCATGAAAGGGGAAGATGACCAGGAAGCACCCTGGTCCGACGATGAGTGAGATCGCAGAGATCTGGCGCAGACAGGCCTGGGAGGATGGGACCGCCACATGCCGAGCGTCATTCCCCGACCTCTCGCGGGCCGCGAACGACGCGAAGGCCAGGAGAGACACCGTCAGGTTCTAGAGGGATGAGTTGGAGGCCGCGAGCAGGAGTTACCGTGCATGGCTACGAGACAGGGCCCCATCACCCATCCGCATACGGATTATCAGATTTGGGCGGTTGATATGATGATGAGGTCGGTTCGATGGCGCGGGTTCCAGGGTCCAGGGCCTCTCCCGTGAACCCGCATGAACGTGCCCACGGTATCTCTATATGTGCCCGATGGCCAGCACTGCCCCCCACGCGCACGCACCCGCGCGCGGACACACTCACACGCGCGCACATACACACACACACACACACGCGCACACACACAAACACACACACACACACACACGTGCGCGAGCCCCCCCGCGGACCCGCTCGAAAGAGTCAGAGCGCAATTGCCACGCCATGAACGCAGCTTGGCTGAGAGGGGCTACCGGAACGACTGGCAGCCACTTCGTCCAGCCAGACACCCGCGCGCAATCGCTTGATGGCTTGATGGCCATTCAAGTCGAATCGGCCACGGACATCGGCACGGGCCGCCCTCCGTTGGCGAGCGAGGCACCATGCGCTCGAGAGGGCGAACATGGGCGAAGATATCTTCATGCGCCACGCATCTGGCACAGGGCTCAGGGCCCCCCCCCGTGGACACACGCGCTCGAGGAGGTGAAGCTTCCATGTGCCATGGGTCTGGCGCGGGGATTGGGGGCCCCCCCAGGTCCACAGGATCAACGCGAA